CACCTTCGAGGGCGTTCCTTGTCATGTGCGAGGTGAATGGGTCCGCATCTGTAAGAGCGTACCATTTTTCATTTCAAAAGAAGCGCAAACGGAGCTGGAGGGCAAAGAAGTCTGATTGCTGGCTCCAAAGCCCAGTCGTGGTAAGCCTCAAGGGCTGCACTTGCGTCGAATAGGAACCCAACAGCGAATACGCAGGTAGAGAACAACAAGTAACAAAGGGGCACAAACAAGAAGCGTGTTTGGCTAAGGTCCGGCTGCGTCCATATTTGCGGCGGCGCCTACTAGCGACCAACAGCGTCCACCAGCGTTCCGAGCGTCCGTCAACGTCAGCCTAGGAAAGTATAGATATCGATCTAGCGTCTGCCAGCGTCTGCCAGCGTCCACCAGCGACCAGCAGCGTCCGGGAGTGGAGAGTATGGGGCGATAGGAGGGTAGCAGACTGCTGGTAGAGAGTATGGGGCGATAGGAGGGTACAGCTGTCTGCTACTCTCCTATCGCCCCGTACTCTCCACTCTAGACGCTGCTGGTCGCTAGTCGACGCTAGATCTATATCTATGCTTTCCTAGTCGCTGACGCTGCCAGACGCTCAGAACATTAACAGACGCTACTAGTTGCTGGTGGACGCTTCCGCAAAGTATGAACGCAGCTTTAGGAGTGCGACTAGCCGCGCGGTGGAAGTCAGAAAACGGCACTAAGATACCACTACCCATCAACCCGTTCCCGTACAGTTTTGACCGGGGAAAAATGGATGCTTCTGCAACAGCGGACCAATTACTGCGCCCATGGCATGCATCCGTGGAGGTGAGGGTAGAGCTTGTCTTCAATTGCATTCGCAAGCCACCCATGAAAACCTGTCTGAATCCATTAAGAAAGTTGCAAAATCCAAAATCCGACCTTTCCAGCTAACCATTCGAATTTTTGAGAAACACTGCGTTTTTTTTTACCAAGCTAACTTAACAATTTTCGAAGCTTTTATAAAAGAACACGATCAGATCTTGCAAACTATTTGGGTGTCCAAAAAGTTTTGAGAAAATTCGCTCATTTTATTCAACACATATTAGCAACAGGAAAAGCGAAAAATCAGGAAAAAACTAACCAGGATTGTGGCCCTTAGCCACGACGTTTCTCTACCGTTTGGGCAAGGCATCGATACCTTCCTTCCAAAAGGAAGTAGGCGGGGACGCAATCCATCGAGCATACGCTTGGACATCCTGATGGTTGTTAAACTCTTACCCTTTCCTCTAAACATAATAGCGTAAGCGGAGACTCTGAAATATGGTAGTCACAAGGGCTAAGGTCAGGTGAATACGAGGCATGGGGCAGCCATTCGATTCCTAAATTCTCCAGCTCGTCCCTTGTCGTCTTCGCATGACCGGGCGTTGTCATGTGATTGTGAAATTTACACGGGGGGGCGGTACTGGATGTGGAAACTGGAGCTCTGACATCAGCTCTCGTATTGCTAAAGAATATCGATGACGTTTCAGTAGTGTCGCCTCAGTTCGTAGTTTCAGTAGTGACGAATATCATAATAAATGCAGCCGGTGGAGCAGAAGAAAAACGAGAGCAAGACTTTCTTGGCGTGGCATCCTTGCTTTGGAACGGGCTCTGGCTTCTGTTCCAACGGCAACCACTCCAGTTTCCTATCCGGGTTTTTGTACGAGATCCACTTTTCATTCTGAGCAGTTATGAAACTCGCTCAAGTCGTCGTTCGTTCTCGATCGAAGAGCTTCTGGCATAGATCGACCCTCACCGCACGTTCCCTTGCGGTAGAACCGCGGAACAGTTCGCGAGGCAGAGCTGCGCGCCGTAAGTCGTTCCTTTTCAAAAAATGCCGGTGAATAGTGGGATCGCGAGGCAGCTAAGAAGTCGTTCTCTCCAACTACTCCTCAAATATTGGGCAGGCCTAGGTCCTCATAGAAGCCAAGAAAACGATGTCCAGTCGTTGGAAGAGGAGGGAGCGTCCGCATCGCAGGTGCTTCATCTGGCAGCTACAAATCTCTCCTTTGCGAAGCCGGTCTCGTACCACCTGTCGGCAGGTCCTTGCATAAGACAAAGGGTGCATTGTGCCACGCATCGACGACAAAGACTCATTCTTCCTTGAATGAGCGGAAGCGGCCTACGGACGGTAAAGCAATGGAGTAGGATGCAGTCGTACTGTAGTGCCGTGATCGACATTAATATCGAGTTGCAGACTACAACAAAGGCCAATGACAGGGAGTGAAATAATGATGCAGCTGCCTGACTTGATCTACAGACAATCCTCTATCTGCCCACGTTTTGATCTACAGATTTGCTCATGGCCTTCGCGCTCTACGCTTTTTCAAAGTGAGGCAGCGAAATTTTCTCAAAACTTTCCGGACACTCTAATATATAAGCTTCAGTACAAGGTGACTTACTCCCCATTCCTTCTTAAATGAGAAAAAACTGATTGCAGAAGTGCAAATAATGGGCGCTCTTCGTTTGGATAGGAGGACATTTTGTGACTTTTGACCGTATTCATTTTACTAGTTCATGGTTAATAGCAGGTCTTACTTTGATGAGACCTGTAAATTCCTGCGAATCTGTGATGTGGGACAAATGAGCCGCTTCAGTTGCAGGACTGTACATGTTTTCACAAGGTACCTGACAAGCTTAGCTAAGTATCATTCGGTGCCCCCACTGTGCCCAGTAATGTAGTAAACAGAGAGATACTCACCGTAACAGTTTCACCCATGTCAACCTTGAATGATCTCACTTCATGGCCTTCTTTTTGGATAGTATTCCTTAAACCTACTATATCTTTGCGGATTCCACAGTGGATGCCTCGCTGCGCATTCGGGAATTGCCAAAAGCAGTGAAGCCATTAAATTAACATATCAGTTAATTCATAGTAAAACAACAACAACAACATGAGCCAAAGATAGCAAGGCGGGATGTCAGCAAGCGGGACTGCAAAACTATTTAATCGATGTAAACCCAAAAATACAGCAGTTCTTGGAAATTCGGTGAAGTTACTAATCTATACGAAAACAAAAAAAAGAAGGCTGATCGAAATCATGTCAGCAATGGGCTAGGCGATATGACCTCATATCAAAGACATAAAAAAGAATGCTCCACTGATGGTCACTTGCAAGAAACATTCCATAGGAAGCATGCATTCTTCGATTGGCATTCACCACACGTTTTTATTAAGTCATCTCATTCAAAAACGTGGAAGGGTTATTCAAATGAGTTGTAGAGGAATACAGACAAAAAAAGCAGTATTTTGGCTATAAGTTGAGTAGATCCCTCTTCCATCAATGACCCGCTCCCAATACCCCGGAAGCGTTATAACCACTGGCACCATGGTTTTTTCAACAACTGCCACTAAATTGCTGTTGATGCAAGTTTCAGCGAAGGACAGATTTTCGTAACAGTTGCCATTGTACAGTACCTCCTACTGACTAGGACAGGTGAAATTGCAGGGCTGTAGGTTCGACAAATAAAGCGACTGAATCCAAGCCGTCGTATACACTGTGTCCGAGCACTGCCCAATAATACGGTTACTCGGAGTCTGGCACTGTGGCGAGCAATGGTGCCTTCTTATAGTTATGTACTCAGGGCACGCCATCGCGTTGTGATCATTTCCTGAAAATATGACCCCCCACTCCATCCTCAAATACGACCCCTTCCCCATGACACCCACCATTTTCCTAGATTTTTCCAACAATTTCCGGTCTTCCAGGCCAAGAATTTCCCGTCGAGCGGGAGGGGGGGGGGGGGAAGAGAAGAAGGAGGGGCGGAGGGTATATTAGCAATGTGGAACAGGATTTTCACCAGATCTTCTAAACACTTATCAGTCTCAGTCCGAAAATTTCCCGGGACATTCTCTGGTTTTCCCCATTTCCCCAAAATCTATTGATGGACGGAGGTCGTCAGAGATTTACTAATTTTCACCATCGGAATAGTATATGCTTTTGGCCGTACTCGCTCGTCCACATGTATCTTATCATCAGCCCCCTCTCACGTAAATAGGACCCCCGTGTGATCATACAAGAGGCCAATTAGCGCCAGAAACACAATCGTCACGCCAGTTTAGCCGAAGTACGAGGCAGCACGCATTATCACTTAGTGTACTCGAGTGTACACGAAGAACGTTTTGTCTCTGCATCTTTTGAAATACCAGGAAGTCTTCATATGAGCCCATGTAACTCCTCCTGGCAGAGTACGGACGGCTTCTCATCTGCATTCATACAAAATTGATGCTTGTGAGTTTCGGCTCGGAGTTCAAGACCACGCATATTTCATGTAGGGCCGAGATGCGTTTTTACAGGCATGAGTGACGTACAGCACTTTTGCTACAGGCATCAAATCAGTACTGCAACCGTGCTCTTACAGAAAAATTAGCTACACTGGCAGAAGCATCCTTTGACGATATTCATTTTTCGGACGTGTTTCGGGCACCATTGCATCGGGTGTATCATTCTTGCCGGGAAGCGCGGCAACGGTACAGCCTCTGTGATCGTGATGTGATGGTCCGGCCTGGGATAGATAGCGATAGCGCACTATCCTCTTACGAAGCCTGATTTCATAACACTTCGCTGATTTTCACCAATCAGGTTTCTTTTCAGTTTCTCTAGATTTTCTTCTGTGGCCCTAGCCCCTTTTCTTACGTGCCATTCCTCTATATGTCCCCAAGTTTCTGAATGAGATGACCTAATACAATGACAGCAAGCGAAAGTGAACGAGGAACTACGAAGAAGTTGAACAGAAGAGGGAAAGCAAATTTATTTTCTGAGAAGAAGCCTCTTCGTAGTTTCTCGATGGACAACTTGTAACACAACAAACCCACAGTGACAGAA